GGGATAGATATTGGTCCTTAACTTTTCGTAAAAGTGATTTCCTTCTGACTTCCGCAGTTGCTTAGAGTTGCCATAAATCTTGGCACGTACGAATAGTGCTCGTTTCTAGACGCTGATATTGTACTGTTCTTCCTTAAACTTTCCCATTCATATAAAAATGTAGTCAATGGAAGCTACCTTTTCCGTACTACAGATGCTACTGTGATGAAAACTAATGAGTGACATGTACACCATCGAAATGGATGTGTGTAGATAATCAAGTAGATTTAGGTGGAATTATCCTCCATTAATATGGTGATATCGTTCTGCACTGGTGCATAATATTTATTAAAGCTGAGACAATTTCTTGCTTCATGGATTTTGAAGTCGTACAACAGTAACAGTAATTTAGAAAAAGACTGTTTGAGCGAAGGAATATATTCCTTTTCAGTTAGGTCTTCATCTTGGGCTTTAAACTAATATATAGGCTTACAATTTAATCAAATTACCAATCACGTGGTGACGTTTTACAAATAATGATGTAAATAATCAATAGAGTTACTAAAATTGGAAATATGAATATTGATAGAAACAAGAAGGGGAAGAGGTGTACAAAGTAAACCTAGAAGTTACATCATGTTGACGGCCACGGTAATGAAAGTGGTCGAGCAAACTTCTCTTGGATAAAAAGGCTAGGTTTGTGAAGGTGGATTGCAATCGCCCCTGCTATGTGAAGTAACCGAGTGCGTAATCCATGAGGTAAATTAATTGGTATCTGATGGATGATTTTGAAGGTTTTTTCAGTAACCACTTGATGTCCTTTGTTAACTAAGTGTGCAAGTATGGAGCTCTTTATAGTTCTAATTTGTCCATTGTTCAACCATGGTGGGTGGTGCTCAGAAATTCAACGATGGAACTGCTTCATTGTACGTCCAATGTAACTAGCTCCACAGGAGCAGTTGAATTACAGTAATGACAACTTTATTTAACTATGGAAAATGTTTGTAAGTCGCAATACATATCTTTTAAGGCCGAATGCATAAGCTGACACTTAACTTTTTTATTATTCAGTTTTAAACTTTTCAAAACATGTACAACGAAGCATCATCAACAAGCTATTTTTAAAAAGGACTTCACCTAATCATAATTTTATATGATTACTCAAAATTGTAGAGGTATTACTTTATCAATACCTCCAGCCATTACTCTTATTTGTAGTTTACAGAGCATCTAAGACATCAACTTGCGGCTGATCAATTAAACTCTGAAATACAGCGTGATGTATATGCATGTAATGTAACATTACTTATTAGTGATATAAAAAGTTTGTGACTACAAATACTTTGTAATGAGATTTTAAACCGATAAGCAATACATAGGAATGAAGGACTAAATTAAATGTTTTACATAGTTTTATAACAATTATCCAGTGTAAATTATTGATCACTTAACTGGTCTTTTCATATGGATTACATTTACATAAAGTCAGGAAGTATTTGGCTGGCTATCCTTGCAAATACCATTGAAGTGAGTTGAAGAGATATTTTCAAACTTTTCAGTACTTCCAATTTTTAAATTAATTGGTGCCTGATTTCAGGCAAACTGGTTGCTATGACATATTTTACAAGGTTAACAAAGATAATGAGTTTAAATATGTGTATATGCTCTAAAAAATTGAAGATGCATACCAGTTTGCAATAATTAAAAGAGGTGCATTTTTGGCCAGTAGTATTTCTAAAAAAAGTGCTAGATATGCGCTGCAAATTTTGACGGGCTTTAAAAGTGCAAACCCAATAAAACTGTTAGACTAACTGATATGTCCTTATGGTATATATATATATATATATATATATATATATATATATATATATATATATATATATAATACAAGGGTGGACTCTTGAACAATAACCTTAGTCTTCACCTCTGATGTTGATTCGGTTCCGCGAAGACAGAAGAGAATATGTATAGTTGACTATGTGCAAAAATTAACGGTTTTCTACACATTGTTGATGGCCTTGGAATGTTCTACACCCTTTTAAAGGGTCCATTAGCAATCTGGCTCTCACAGGTATGATCACACGGTTTATCGCAAACAAATGATATGCAATGATTGGCTGTGAAAACGTCTAACTAAGACTGATATTAAACTTTATATGACACAGAAATATGTTCGAATATTCATTTTTGTGATGAGCTTTTACCGATTTTTGTGTATATAGGTGGATGATAATTTGGTGCTATTGTAGATGCTATTGTAATGGTAAGCTGTGTCAAAGGTAGCAATTCTACTAGTAATTCTACCAACATCTCATCTAGGGCGGCATGTTCTCCACTGTTTATATCCTATCGAATTCTACCCTTTTAGTTTGTTTTTAATCTTTCAGATGTCTTTAGTACTCATCATGTATTCTCGCACGTTTTAAAAATGTCTTCTAAGTTTCGTTTTTCAAGCTAAGAACAAAACAAAGGAAAAAACGTTTCTCCAGTTGAGAATGGATTTGTAAATGCTCAAAAACACACCACATTACTATTCATATGATACCTGTGTGGGATTATGGATTTCTGTGCTGGCTGACTGAACTGCCAGCGTGAAAATACGCTCAATTTTGTGTTACTTTCCGAATCGAGAACTGATGCTAATTTAACACTGGCTGCCTGTTTCATACTTATGCCTTCAATACTTCCGTCATTAACACTAAGGAGAAGTAATAATTATTTCTTTTAAAAATATTGAACGTAAAGCGAATTTGTTGGAATATTCCATACTGTTTCATACATGTTGTTTGGAATAAAGCGAGTGCTATTATTCAGTGTTGAATAAAGAGATTCGGTTACACGTTGACTAATAATTTGGATAAGAAGAAACTTTAAAATTATGACAAATGAAAACATAAAATCATAAGTATTTACCTTATTTTCATCCGTGCCTCCTGCTGCTTATTTGAAAAGCTAATAACATCCTCTCGGAAGGCTTCTCTTGGATTTCGTTTTCCACGCTGAGCACTTTTCGGGTGACGTGTTAAACAAACAGCATTGACGCGTCCAATTCGTTTCATTCCCCCCTGAGTGGATTGAGGTTCTTGTAGTGCTGGTTCCAATAGTTCAACAGATACACTGTTTTCATTCTCATCTATTATTTGAGAATCAGATGACACATTTTCTGTTCTAAGCTGCTTGTAAAAACTACCCAACTTCTGTTGTGAAGGATGAATACGAACAACCCATCGGTCTGGATTATCAGCATCTAAGCACGTTACACCTTGGTCCTCTACGAGATCTATCAGATCCAGTGAATACGGTCTGTTTTGTTTATTTGTACTAAATGCTGCATAGTGAAGACCAGCAAGTTGCGAAACCTAAAATTTCGTTAAATTAACGTAAAGAGAATATAGGTTTTGCTGCATAACATGTACCTTGCTTGCTAAGAATCGTTAAAGTTATCACGAAGCTTCTGAATTCAAAGCTGAAATTCATCACGACTTTGTATGATTGGCTTAATATCTTGGTTTTGCACGTTAAAGTAAATTTTATCATGTGGTGACTACACCCGCTTGTCAGAGGTATTCTTTCATCAGTGGCGTTTTTATTCGGTTCAGTCCACTGGAATGCTGTTGAATTATGAAAGTCTCTGCAAGTTTCTGACCAATAAGGTATCTAAACATGATAACTAAAGTCGACATCGAAAAGGTAATTATTGTAAAACAAAGGCTAATTGAATGGTCAAATTAACTTTTTCCGTCAGATCTTCAACGTACTTTTTTATCAAGCTGAGCGACAATGGAATGAACAGAGTTCATCTGTGCATAAATCATTGTATTGTTTGAAAATGTTGATATTAATACCAATTACGACAAAGAAGGCTTTCTCTTGTAACCCATAGGTTGTTATATTTTCTGTTGTATTTAAGCTGTTACCAGTTGCGGTATTTCAGTGACTTCAGGCCATAAAGTTAGGTTTAAAGGCAACATTCTGATTTCGAAAAGTGAGACTAACATCAAAGTTAGTTGTGTAGCTATTCAGAATAACAAATAATACAGACTGGCATAAAACTAGAAACAGTTTATATGTTTATGTTACTGTCGTAAACATAACTGACTTTCATAACGGCTACGTATGAATTAAATACTTGTATTCACTGAATGAAATAAGAGTTGAGACTAAATTACAAATTGGAACTGACTGCTAAACTTGAAAAGAAATCTGATATGTTATGTGGTCAAGGTCTGAAACTAAAGGAAATCTTGATTGATAAAGTGAAGTGAATAAATAAATAATCTCCAGGTTATTGATATGATCATTTTACTACTGACTTAAGCGACATCTCCAAGGCTTTCAAATTTTGCACTTGGTTGCATCTGCGTGAATCGATGATAAACTGAAATAAAACCGAGAATTTATTTTCGTGAATTTGATCGCCTAGAACAGTGGTGAATAAAAGGAAGAAAATAGACAAATCACCAAAGAGCCTTGCACTAGAAGAAGACAGCTCGAGTAGTCTCACTTTACAATAGTACATAAAGAGGTAGTAAACAGAGAAGAATAGTAATAAAAGATAAAGAGGTGCATAAAAGAAGAGGGAATAAGTGGATCGATAGTTAAATTTCCAGACTTCGGATTACATAGAGTGAGAGAATAAGCACCACTGACCAAATTCTATCCATAGTACAAAGTTTTTCAAGTGCTGATTCTTGATGGGATTCCCACTGGTTCGCACACACTAGCCAGTACCTAAGGCCCTCAAGTCGGAGTTTTCTTTCCTTATCTGTACACACTTCTGATGGAATTTCACTATATCCTACGGATTTGCATCACTGTTGGTTTGGAATAGCCTTTTAAGGGTTGGTAGTGGTTGGAGGATCAACACATATACTCTATTAAAGTTGCTTTCGGGTAATAGTTAGTTAAAATCTGGTTCTAAGTCATTTGAAGTGTTCTAAAGATTATATCATCCAATTTCCCAAATGCCTGTCCTGTGAGGTTACCAACGGCCGTTCTTCTAGTTCTTTTCCTGCCAGTTTTTTTGATGAGCCTAGATAATTTCCGAGTCTTACATTTATAAGTTTGTATCGACCAAGTGACTCTTACTAACCTTTGGTCATATTTTATTCATCGTAGTGACTACTTTAATGCAGTAGGACTTTTATAGCACTTTATCTTTATCAGAGTCGACGCCATTTTAAGATAAACGGAATGCTTCTGTACTAAGTCTAACTAAAAGCCTATGTTGAAATGACAATGAATCTTTTCTCAGCTCAAGTGAATAATCTTGGTGTTATTGTGTTCTGTAAGCTACATGAGTGAACCATAACGTTTACATTGTCTTTCTAAAAAACTTCATCACTATATTCAGCGGAGTAATAGGAATAACGATAGTAATAAACGTAAACACCAATTCTCTAGTGATGTATCAGCGATGCATTTAATGTCTTTTTATCTGGGGTCATATATTTACTTCAGAATCCATTAAGGAATATTCAAAAAGTCCTAAGAGACTCATACACTGTGAACTGCAACAACTAAAGCCTTGTAATTCGATCACGAACCGTAATCACTTCGTTTTAACATTAAGAAATTCATAGCATGACATTCATATCAGTGGTAATAAAGGTGGTATGTTTTAACGTGTACACCTAGGTTTTATAGAAAAATGTAGTTTACCTTTCTCTCAGTGGCAAAATAACTTTCATCCCAAAGTTCAAATGAGCAATCGAAACTTCTTTTTGACCTTAAAGACAAGCGTCTTGTTTTTGGAGCTGGTGAATCTGAGGTAAATGAAGATACGAAATGCTTTATAGATAATTTCAAAAAGGGCTACTTAGAAAAATATGAAACAGAAATTGTCTATCATCTTTTATGACCAGTAGTAATATCATGCATAAAGAAAATATTCTCCTACATTCATTATGGTGGACAGTATTGTATATCAGTCGCTTCATGTGCAGTGGACGAAAATACGGTAACTCAGTAGGACTAAATGAGAGATGAAACAGCGATATAAATGACAATATTTAACGTTTATTAAAAACAAGAGTGGCGACAACTATATAAATTAAAGATTTCACTGTTCATTGTAGTCGGCATGCAAATATTTGGATTCTCAATTACACTTATAAATATAAAAATTCTATTTAGCAGCTGGGATCCTAAACAGGTCTGCTTTCACCTTATCTTCTTGTTTCCAAATCAAGATTTTCAGATGCTCATTATTTAACTGGAAAGGTTTCCTATCTATCTATATATCTGTCCACCCGTCTGTCTATCTATCTGTCTATGTGTCTGTCTATCCATCTGTTTGTCTGTCCATCTATCTGTCTGTCTGTGTCTATATATATATATATATATATATATATATATATATATATATATATACGATGTATGTGGGTATTTCGAACCAAAAAACGGTGACGAAATTCCGAAAAACCGTAAGAACTTTTCGCAGAATGTTGTCGTGATGACTGTGCAACTTATCTTTTAGTTCGTCAGTTCTATCTTTGTTTTACCTCCCCTGTTCAGTAGTCTTCAATGCACAGTTGTTATGGTAGAAATTGATGAAGTCCTCCTCTTTATTCAGCCACCACAATGCAATTACAGCTGGAAATATTAGAACTTGAACAGATTTATACAGTTAGAATAGGTGCTTTCGAAATGCATGCAGTTATATGCGTGAGTATACAATAAAAGGTGCGTTTTGAATTTCGCTGAACAGACAGAAGCTTGACACCATTGTAGGTTTGCTTTCCAAGGAACGCATTTGTTTTCTAGATGGTTGTAGGTGAAATTTGATGTTACTTGAATAACTGAGGGAAAATATATACCAGTAAGTATTTCTGTAGAACCTGCAGATAATCACGAAATTCACCTTCGACTAATGGGTACGGAAGATTCTGATGTGAGTCATCATACAGTAGCAACTGATTTTCCAACTGTTTGATTCGTCCAGGTAGTTACTTAAAAAGTATTTATAAGGCTAGTAGGCATGTTAAATGAAATATTTTTCATGGTCCAACTATTAGGAACATAACCTTGAAAGAGGATTTACACTTTTTTTGAAGAAAAGGATTGTTGTCCGCTTTTTTATCACTATATATGTACATACAAGTATGTACAGCTTATAAAAAGCTATAGCGTAATCTACTGACTTTACTTAAACTATTTTGAGAACTTAGAGCAACATAGCCATTGGGGTCCATTGTATCAGCGTATTGTAGAACAATTTATAGTTGTAGATAGCTTTTATAATAACTGACTTAAGTAGCTGCTGGTAATTCAAACTGATTAGCAGTGTTTATTACTAAGATAACGGTGATCTAAGAGAAGAAATCTTGTTGCACTAAACTGATTAACCCCATCAGGGGTGTATTCGAATTCATTGTTCAAAATAACAAATCACTTTGATCTGGCTTAGGAGCACTGTTAATTTACCTGTACTGTCTGCTAACTGCTCATATCAGCCGACAGCCTTTTTTATAGAGTTTTCACGCACGTTACGCGACTGGTACTCCCAGTGTCGTGCAAATTTTGTACTTTGGATTGAATACGTCGACTTCTAAAAGAATCTAAAATGCTATTTCTCAACCACGTGTCACACAGCTAAGAAATTTAAGAAAAAATGACTGAATTCTTTATAATTTTTTATTTCATCTTCCACCTTTCCTTATGTTACTTTGACCTCCATTTAAGTATAATATTTTGACCGGTATTTGGTCAGAAGTCGTCACTTGTTGGTATGAACTTGTGACGATTGTGAACAACTGAAAGGGCATCAACGCGTTATCTAGTGAAAGTGCTTTAGGATTGCGTTCTAATAGCCTTTTCTTACGTAAAATACCAGATCCCCTAATGTCATAGTATTTTCCTTGGCAGAGACGTTATAACTGCCTGCAGGCAAAAAAGTGCTTGGCACTGAATAGAGTGATAATACAGGTAAACAGACCGTAACCTATAAATGAATCTAAGTTTAATAGCAGCAATGTATTAAGAAAGGCCGAAATTTATTTTGATTACCTGTGCCAGGGGAACTGCTTTCACGATCGATGCTGATATCTGTTATAAAAAAATAATGGTAAAAAAAATAATCAAGGGCTTATTAGGACAAATGATGTAAAAAGAAAAAAGAAATCAGCTATTTTTAATGCACTCATAAACTGCCTACCACTCTACTATATAATCATGTAAATGACAGTGAATGGGATATCAATTTCTAAATAATTCTGTTAAGGTAATAATTTATCCAGTATATAGACGATACTTTGCGAAAATGGGCATGCATGCAAACTTGGTCCAAACCATTTTAGCAAATGCTGAAGTTTTTTAACAGTTTCAATAGATCATAACTATTACTGCATCCCCACTATTCTATTTCTGTACACTTTGGTTTATTTGAATCTATAAAGGTGGTTTTTTCCTAAATATAAGTAATACACGACTCTTTGGACATTTAAAGCGGAAATTCGACAAAGTAAACAGCTAATTCCCCCTTGCGTGTTGTTATTTTAAACGTTGAGTTAAGAGGACATAAGGAACGCATAAAAGTTCTCTGCTTGAATATCACAGGTTAAGAAAATTTTGTCTGAGAATAAAGATGAAGTCAGTCTTTTTAAGCTAAAGGACTGACATACTAATTCCTGGATTCCCTTTTTCATACTTCTAGAAATTTCCTTGGTATGTTTCAGGACACTAATAATGAAATAAAACTTTATATATACTTTTTTTGACATTTCTCTTTAACGTGACAATTCACAAACATTAATAGTTATACGGTTTATTATAAACTTTTCCCAAATACGAATCATTACTTATAACTTTCTGGCAAGTGACAGACATTTAATGATCTGTATGTTTTGATATCTTTTTATGAACATTTGTACCATTTCAGATATATTCATTCGCACAAATTTCACTTCCATCTTAGTACGCATTGACAAGCCTTACTTATAAAAAAGAACTTATGAACTGAAGTTATTCATCGAAAGTGACACAAGTCATTCGGTCATTCACGAAGTGAATAATCGACCCAGTCTAGTTACAAGTTATTTACCGTTTCCAGTTTTCTAATAATTTTTTTATCCTTATACTAAAAAGAGTAGAACACACAAGACAAAAACTAAACAAAGGTTCACGTACGTACTTGTCTCAACAAACTCCTACCACAAATGTGATTATAAAAAAACACCTTTGCTCCTATGGTTCAGTTCGCCCTTATTTACAATAAAGAATCACCCATCATAAGCTCATTTTCATTTGCTTAATTAAAATTTGTTTCACAAAATATATCACATCTGTTAAAACTTATTGCATATTACACTTTTTAAGTAGAGCGTCTAACTTAGGATCAGCAGTTTCAAAACTATTTGTCGGTGAAAATACCCATAAGAACACGAAAAAAAGAAGAACGAGCACTTCAGTGAAGAGAATGATTTGATGTGCGTATATATTTCAACATATTTCACTCACCTATATGGTATTCAACCAAGTCCATGAAACGCGTACAGGCTGCAATCACAGTAATGAGGGAAAACGACTCAAATGCAGACTGAAGAGTCTTTGTAGTGATTCCTAATCAGTGCTGATCAGGGAAGGTTGAAAAGATGATGAAGGTAGTGGTAGTGACAGTACGTAATATTAGGCAGTTAATTGGACTGACCAAGGAAATGAGGGTGAAAATGCAAAAGTGCCAGACTATAGCGAAGAATAAGATTGCGACTCACTTTTAAAAGTTATGACCGGGATGATGGGTAGAACAAGCCATTAGAAAAAAGACATGCATAAATCAAGTTCAAACTGATTAAGAAAGTCAATAACACAGTTTCACTCTACCGAAGATTCTGTTTTAGCACTACTGGATGAAATGGAATTTCAAAGACATCAACTTGTTTGGAAAACATCTTCTTCAGCACACAATCGGACATCAAAAAAAGTCAACAAATATTAGTGTAGCATTTGAATATGCCCCGCGTTTTTAAAATGTGACGAAACGTTCACGACAACGTATCAAAGTACAGAGAACATGAAACTGTCGTAAATATCTTACAGTAACTCATGAAGGTCTCCCTATAATCGGTTGACTCCACTGGGAAGCATCCTCTCTTAGTAGAATCCGCATCAGCCCTGCCAACTTACATCATGTCCGGCACTAATGTGATATCCAATTGCTTATCGAAGGTGGAATGAATTGCACAGCGTTTCATTCTGTCCTGCTATATGGCCTCAAGTCTTAAACCATAGTTGTCTTCCTAGCTTAGGCCATGCATCATGGAATGATTGTGTCAGTAAGACATAATTCGGGGGCCAAGATTTTCATAAAAGTAAGTCATTTGATAAGATTGCGAGTCGTAATCGAATGAGTTAACTGGGATATATTTTCTGCATACCTATTAACAGTCTGTGTCCCTGCACAAGTTTAACTTACACAGATTGGGATACTAAAGGGTTGTGGGTGGCTATATAAAGACATGACATCAGTTTATGAAGTCTCTCACCGTCAGTTGATGCTACGTAGGCAAATGTAGACTTCTAAGTTGGAGTCAACGCGATGACCTAAGTCGGTGGTTTATAACTTTAGGTAGTGCAGCTTAAAGTTGACCTCAGTCGTTTAGGTGCGTCGACACATTATCTTCAAATAAATAGGAATGTGGAATTTTGCTAAAACTTTATCTCTTATTCCTCTACTTGTGCTACTTTGCAACACTTTTGTGAATTTTCTTCCTCGCTTCTCAATGTTTTACTTTGGGATCTTGTTTCTTGATGTACTGAAGCAAGGTATGGCAAGATGGGCTGTCACCCAGTACAACCAGTTGGCCTACCGATATTGTGTTCGTAGTTAGTCTGAAAAAGCCTAAACTCCATGTTGCATCAACTTGTGAATGCACACTACCCTTAGTGTTTCGAATTGACGTCAAAATAACTACTCAAGGCTTTTAGGTTTCCAGAGGTTCTCCAGCTGACACTTACCTATGGTAACGATTACCCAAAGATAATAGTTTACTACTGTCAACATTTTAGAACATCTTGTATATACGATATTTTTCCTATTTCTATTCAATATACGTGGTTTTCTTTAGATTTGTGCTGATTTTCAGAGCGAACAGAATAACACATGCTAGTTTGGTATTCTTAAACATAACTTGAGAACGTTAGTGTTCATATCATTCAATAATATCTAAAATTTTGATTATAGTGCGGCTGAATTTTGAGATTATTATTTATGTCCTGGTGTTAAATTCCACTTAACAGTTTAGTAAGGAAACATGGAATCCCCTTTCAATTACTACAGATATTTCTTCTAGACAATTTCAAAATGTTTCAATCAGGTGTGAGAGATAAGTAAATTTACTAACATCTTAATGTAATCAGTTGAATCGATCTATGAAAATATTCTATTTCTCGGACACATCTTATAATATGTACATTGTTTCATTGGATTTTCTAATGTCTAAAAACTGTACTTCGCAGTTAGCTAGGACAAAATTATATGAAGCTGATATTTAAGAAAATTCACTATTGCATCAATTTTTTCTGTAACTTTTATCACTACACAGGTGTCTAAATCTCCAAATTTATCAGCCATTTTCACTTCAGGATATGAACTAGTGAATAATATTTACAAACAGTAGAAAATTAGATGGTTTGTTTTGTCAACCTACTTTCTGAAATTCATAAATTAGATGCGCTTGAGAACTAGAGTTTAAAAGTACACATTTAACCCGCTGACAGTACTCACTGATAAAATGTTTGAAGTGTTTCAACGCATGGTTGAAACTTAGGCCAGTAACCAAACATTCTGTGGAGTTTTAAGGGACAAAATATCCTTCAAAGGTGCAGTTCAGAAAGGTGCGATATTTCAGTCTGAAATAGCGCAGGGTTTCTTGAAAAAACATTTTCAAAAGGACTAAATGTAAAATATTTTAAATGGAAAACAGAATACAACCAGTTATAATTCGTTGATATACTTATACTGCTGTTTTGCTATACTCGATTGAACTGTTCGACCTTAAACAGGAGGAAACGCGCGTTTTGGATTCCTCTGCTATCCACAACCGGGTAAATTATCAGAATGAAACCAATTTATGAGCAAGAATAACTTATTAGTGAATGATTTTGAGAAATTGAAAATAATACGAATAATTGACATATTTTGACCCACCATGATCATAAGACTTATTCAGAACTGAAATTAGTGATAAAATCATATAGGATACAGCAGAATAGTAAAGTTGAGCTTTCAGTGCTGCTGGTGATTGAAACTGTTGATAGCTAGATTGCAATTCAAAAATATACAGATTTACAACAAGCTTAAGCTGATTTACTTCTTCAGCATCTAACCGAACAATAAGAGTATTTCGACTAATCTCGCTCAGATCCTTAGATTTAGGTGACTAAATCATAGTAATCTGAGGCTGTTTTCGATCAAAACTGTTAACATGATCAAGTACAGTAGAAACACAATTCTCATGGACTAATGGTCTAAGATAAATACAAAATTCAGAATAGACTGAATTGGTAATAACAGCTTTGGATAAATATGAACACAAGTTCTTGGCGAACAAGGTGCCTGAACAGTGAAATTGAACTTATCAAGGCAAGATATCTTAAGTACAATGACACTGAAATGTATCGGTACAAGCGATCGATGTTTTTTCAGGTCCATGGATGACATCAGTTGACTAAGATAATCAGAAAAACTTGAGTTTTGGAAAGGTCTTGCTGATAAAAATGACTGGTTAGAAGCTGGAAGAATTAAACTGCATTTCGTAGTTTCAGATAGAAATCGCCTGCAAAAATATGTTCAATGAAGAGATTTTAAAGCAGTGAATCACCAACCACCAGGAAGCCTTGATTTTCCTTATCTGTATAATCTTGGATGCAATGACTGTTTTCTTATATGTTTCCATGTGGTGATACAAAATGATCAGCAGGGAAGATAAAACATTACTTCACGAGCTGATGTCGGTTTAATTTATTTCAACTACGATAATTAAGTGTGCATGCATTTAACCGCAGTTTCATACTCCTTAGATCTTGTAAAAACCTTATACTTCACTATT